TCACGATTGATTAACACATATGAGCTGAAAATAGTCACTCTTATGACAGTCCAGTCCGGCCTCGATAACCAGGCAGTCTTGGCACAGAAGGACCTTGAGAAGGGAACAGTTTGTTGACACTATGTTATCATGTGTTCCGAGCTGCAGAGAGGCCTGGACTCCAGCTGATGGAATGGCAGGATCCGGCAGATTAAAGGCCACAAATGTAGACTCCTGTCTCCATATGACCAGATACTGAAGGGGTCAAACTGTACATGAAAAACTGACCATTTCTGGACATTACAACAGCAATCCTCATACTAAGCAAGCATGCAGCGACAGTGGAAAGGAAAACTCCCTTTTAACAGGAAGAAACCTCCAGAGGATCCTGGCTTAATATAAGCAGCCATCCACCACGACTCACTGGGGATCGAGAAGACAGAGCACACACACACACACACACACACACACACACACACACACACACACACACACACACACTTACACATCTGCAGAATATATTTAACAAGTAGTGTTTCTATGGTTACATTGTGATTTCTTAGTAAATATTCTATTTAGTGAGAGATAAACTTTATTGTATTTATACTAGTGGATCTATAATTAAACGGGTAAACTAGTAGTAGCACATTCAATGTCAAAGAAAGTAAAAAGTTATCAGGAGAGGGAGAATGTTTAAGTGGTTGGCAGCAGTGTTCAAGCTGATGGCCCCCTCCATGAGGCCACCACAGCACAGCAGAATATCGTTGTAGCTTCTTCTGGGGGGACAAAAAACACTTTGAGAAAAAATAAAGTTAACTGTTGAAAAAGCAGGAAATAATACAGTTAAAGAGCAAATTGTAGAAGAAAGTAGTAGAGTGTGGAAAGTGGTCAGTGTGTCCTCCAGCAGTCTAAGCCTATAGCAGCATAACTACAGAGATAACTCTGGATAACCTAGCCTTTTAGATGGAGGCATGCTGAAGGCAGGGCAAGGGAGAGCCGTCTTTACAGACTGTACACTCCACCTCCCTCTACTCCCCCACTTGTTCAGATCTGGGCTAACATCAGATTTTAAACATAGGCCCTATCAAATAAAATGCCAATATCTGTATCCAACTGGAACATATCGGATTAGATCAGATTGTGATAATTGATTGTAACTCATGAGAATCTGAATCAAATTGATTCTTGGAATTTGAATCGTTTCCCAGCTCTATAAAAGAACATTAATAAATAAAAAGAGAGAAAAACTGCCTTTTTATCTTCAACTAATTTGGTTACAGAACTTCTCTGCTGAGTAAATGGGTTACTTTAGCACAATCAGAGTACCCTAATTGGTCCAACTTCTTGAAATGTATGAAGACTGTACCTGTGTGTAATCAATATAAAATATTTTTACTAAAACATTGACTTCAAACAAGATAATATTCCATGAAAATTAAATATAAAAATAATAATAATAACATAAAATTTAATTGGCCTTTTTAGGACACCCTCTGCCTTGGGGCCGGTGGTCAGGGGCGGCGGCGGCCGGGGGCGCTCCCCGGGTAGTGCCCGGGCACTGGTGGGGGGTTTCTGCCCTACGCCACTGGGCGTCATGGGCCGGTGTCTTGGCTGCTGCCGTGGATCTGTTGCTGCCAGGGCAGATGGCTCCGCTGATGATGTGTCGTTCATTACCTGACCCATCTGAACTCAGCCTATTGTTTCCTCTGGTGTTCACAAGTGTGTGTGTGTGTGTGCGTGTGTGTGCATGGACGAGTGTGCGGGTGATTGTATGTCCACTTTGGAAGTTGGGTGCGGGAGGGGAACTGTAATTTTTAATTGTTTTTTTACTTGGGGAGGGGGGCTGGGATGGGAATGTGGGATCTATGGGGCCATTTTAATCTGTAAAGCACTTTGAGTTGCATTTTTTGTATGAAAAGTGCTATATAAATAAAGTTGATTTGATTTGACACTCAAAGATGCTTCCATGCACTCGCATATTCACACACTGCTAGTGATGTAAGCTACTATGTAGCCACAGCCACCCTGGGGCGGTCTGACAGGGGCGAGGCTGCCATTTGGCACCGTCAGCCCCCCTGCCCACCACCAACACAGGCAAGTTGGGTGAAATGTCTTGCCCAAGGACACAGCAGTAGAATACCCCTGGCAGGAGCTGGAATTGAACCCATGACCCTCCGATCATGAGGCAACCCGCTCTACCTCCTGAGCTACTGCTGCCCCAGCAGCTTTGACATTTTTCTTTATAACACAGTTAGATGTTTACATTTTAGTGTAGCTTAGGTGTCTGTCTGTCATTGAAGTAGTTTAAATAACTGAACTAGATTTAGTTTAAATAATTTGTGAAAGTGACAGAAACAGGCTGAGATGTTGCCCTGTTGATAAATCCTGCCTGGTGGCGTTCTTCAGGGTTTAGTCTTAGGAACCATGTAGTTTCCTTTATGCTCCCCACACAACAGGTAGTTTTATAATATGTTGATTTAAAACAAATTCAATGCTGATGAGGTTCAGCTCCAATGTTTTTGCATGGCCACTGTCCACCTGTTTTGTCGAAGGCTTGGTCAGTGACAACAATGGTTTATTATTGCCCCTGAATGCTGAAACCCTTCAGTGGCTATCTGTCCTAACCCAAAATTTTGGTTTTATTTTTGACTACTCTGTCTGGATCACTCTCGAGAACTAAGAACCCCAAAACATTCCCATATATGTAATGTAGTGTCAGAATCTAACTAATGTAAAATGTTGTTAATGATTGAATGAATAGAAGAGAAAGAGGCAGATAATTACATCCATTTTGATTTTCATTATCCTGCTCACAAGTACATTTTAGAGTTAATTTAGACATGGTCAGAGCTAGAGCTAGGGTCTAGCTCCAGTATAATTCTCTGACCTTTAAAAACCTCAACACCCTTTCTTGAAATCTGAGATTATCTAGTGAAAACCCGTCAGTATTGTTGTGATTATTAGTCAACGAATAATTTGTAAGCTTTACTTACTTTTTGGATTCATCAATAAATTCGTAAATATGGAAATATTTACCGATTTATTACGTAATTAGGAAATCCTTGTGTATCCTCGGGGCACCATCCCCTTTTTACAGGGGAAAATGAATCCACAACCTCTAATCAATCTGTCTAAAGTCCATAAAGTCCTTAACGAGCTGCAGTTGTATTTTATATCAACACAAACAAATTCACTTGAGGCAAAACTTCACTGGCAATCATTTATTAACTAATATATTCACTTCAGCTTCTCCCAAAGTGTTTAGCCAATCAACATCAACCAACTTATTTTATCAAACAAATAACAAGTAATTATGAAATAATAATGTAACGTGACAATCTGATAGGTGGGATATCAAACTGGAGGTAGTTTGAAACCCCAAAATGGCTGATTCCTTTGTCTGGCTGGAAAGGATCAAACCACTTGTGGAATGTGTGCGTGCGTGTGTGTGTGCGTGCGTGCGTGTGTGTGTGTTTGTGTGTGTGTGTAAGTTTCCTCAAACACAGACAGTCAGTGGCTTAACTTTCAACAGTGATGTGGCAAGTTTTCATGCACAGTAACTTAAACAAAAACTTCAAACCTTAAACCACTTCATAAAGCTCAAGGAAAAACAAAAGATCAATCATAAAGACAGATTAAATATCTCAACAGTCTGCCAGCCTGGCCACAGCCTGAACAAACTTAGATATTAACAATAAAGAAACGTAGCTTACTTCAAGATGGTCTGATGGCGTATTTTGGTACGAAGGAGAGACCGTATTTTAATTTGAAACGATCACGCGGTTGATCGCTTGTTCTGAACTATATTCGAGAAACAGGAGAGAAAGAAAGTTAAAAAAAAGAAAATCTTGCATGAGCGAACCCGAAGGCGTCCTAACCCTTTGTGTTCTCGTTGAGCAGATTTGATGGTTTTCCGTTGCTTTGCAGCCGTCAGGCCTCCGCACGCTCCTGTGTGGTAGCAAAACGAGTTCCTCTTCACGCCAGTTGAAACTGGGACAAAAGAGAAAGTTTTCCGCTCTGCGCCTCGCTTTTCTCTCCAGCGGGCGGGCGGAACCTGTGTAGCTTCCGGGGTTCGGCGTCAATTCGGCGACGTCATCACGTTGCTTCCGGCTGCAGGGAATCATGGGAAATGAAGTTGTGATGGGGCTGATTTTTAATATGCCTTATTTATTTACGCTCCAGGGCGTTTTTGGCACAGTCTTTTGGAGAAATTACTGCATAGTAATTTTCTCCTGAGGGCAGACCCTCAACAGTATTAACTCCTTTTAAGGCAAGAAGCCTTTTTCTATCTTTTTTATTTACCATTATTTCATATTAATAGCCTCAACAACATATTTTCAGTCATTTTTATCAGTGTTTCATCGTGTCTTCAGTTTGCCATCATATATGTGCTTAATGGTTCGTTTCTGTCGAAGTTCTCCTAATTTGATCGTCACAGGGCCGTGTAGGATTGGGCTCCTAACATTGCTGCAGCTCATTTAGCCCCTGTAAACAGAGTGTGAGCCGTTTCACTCAACGCTCAAGACGCAATTACCGACTGCACAGATTTTTGATGTGGAGTGACTGAGCAAGTGGCAGAACGGACAAAATAAAGACATGACTAACTTCTCATTAATTTCACCGCTGCTTTATGTGACAGCTGCCAGTGAGTGCTGGGTGGGGTGAGGGGGGGAGGGGGGCAGTTTGCAGCTCCAACACTCCTAGCTTGCTTCCACCGCCGGAGATGTTTACACTCACTGAAAGCCGCCTGCTTTCAAGGGGCCACACGCCGCTCGTATGTAATAAAGGCTGAGTTGGACTCAGTGGGAGAGATCTTTGAGCCCCGCTGACTTTTTCCTTCACAATTAAATGAAAGTCTGGTTTACCAGAGTGAACCCTGTAGCATTTGTATTGTCTGAGTAATAGCTCTCGGTTTGTGGTAATTATGATGAGAAGAGCCAGACAGAGACCTGCTGGAACGTCACTTAAATCAAAGCCTGACACTCGAATAACACGCGTTCTCTTCTGGTTTTTGTTTTCAGGCGGGGAGAAGCAGCGCGTCGCCATCGCCCGCAGCATTCTCAAAAATCCACCCATCCTTCTGTACGACGAGGCGACGTCGTCCCTGGACTCCATCACCGAAGAGGTCGGCCTGTCTGCATCTTCACACACACGCACGCACACACACACACATATGCAGACTGACACCTCATCCTGTCTGCATACACATTTAGCAGAACAATCACCCACTCAGTCACCTGCTGTAGGTACACAATAATTCAGCTCACTCCTGCGTCACATACCTGCTGCGACACACACACACATGCACACACACCACCCCCATGCTCTCCCTTGCCACCTGCCACTGTTTTCTCCCACTTAATCCCCAGCTCAGCTTAAACCACACAGTCTTTGTAAATGTTACATCTAATGAGAAAGTTCAGCGCGCTCTTTCTGAACTTCAGGGAGAAGAGTGGGGCAGTCGACGAGAATGTTAATTGAGATTTTTCTATTGCTTTTCATCACAAGGATGTTTTTAAATTATCTTGTGTAAACATTGGAAAGAAAAGCATACGAAGGGTGGATGTTGCCGGGCAACATTCTGTTGACTTAGTTTTATTGTCAAATCAAAGTTTGGGAATATGTTTCATATATATTCTGTCATTCATGCACTTATTTTAGTCGTTACTGCAAACGAAGAACTGTTTTCTTTTGTATTAAGGGATGCTATTGTAGCTCTAGGCGGTATAGGCGATGACATTATGCTTCTGTGTGTGTGTGTGCTTCCAGAACATCCTGAGCTCCATGAGGGAGATGGTAAAGGACAGGACGTCCCTCTTCATCGCTCACAGACTCTCCACCATCGTAGATGCAGATGAGATCATAGTGCTCAGTCAGGTAAACGGCTCACCTGCTTGGTTCTGGCTGAATCACACGCCCTTTGCTTATTAACAATTTCATTTGTAAGTTTCACACATTAGATCACGGCGGGGTTCGTGAGCATAAACATGCACAGTGTTAATTGCCGGTCCAATTAGATGAATTTGCATTGATGAGAAGGACAATCGGCCGCTCGCTGCTTAACCTTCAGCTCACTGGATCTGCCAGCAACTAGGATACAGCAAGTTGGCACTCATTTATTTCCCCGTTACCTTTGCCTCAACATGTGTGATAAAAACACGCTTTGTTTAGCTTTTCTCATTAACTTAAACAACAACAGGACACGGTGTTGGTAGAAGAGAACGTATTATTTTCTCCATAAGGGCTCATTAAAGCAGTCAGACTCCACTGGCTGGTTTGGTCAGATGGCTCGTCTTGTTTGTCTCTGTGTCTAATAATGTATGGGCCAGCTTCCCAGACACTGATGAGGCCGTATCTCAGAGTTTGTGTGTGTGCGTGCACGGCAGTGCGCGTGCACTCTTTGAATAGACTGAGATTGGTGTTCTGTGCGGTTTGGTTCTGTGTTACTAAGGCACGGTCAGGATTGCATTAAACCGTGGCAGAAGTGACTGTTTTTCTCTGCTTTATCATCACAGAGAATGTCCTTGTGGGTAGAAAAAGCAGCAGGGTGCAGGGCGGGGCGTTGGGGGGTGGACTTTGAGACGCTGTAAGACACAAAAGAGACGGGAGCGAAGTCGGTTATTATCTAGAAAGTGAGAGTTAATGTGGAGTGTAACGCAGGTGAGGTGACATTTTCCTCCATCGCTCAGGCGAGAGGCTAAAACGAGGAGAGATTTCTCTGCGTGGCGGCGAGCCGAGTGCGTTGTGTTCCATGTTTCCAGAGTCAGATGGCAGGGATCAGAGGGTTGGGGATGAGGAGGCACGTTTGCGTGTGATGTCGCCAAAGCGTTTGCTAGTGTCACCAGCAGAGGACTGCCTGGGGTGCTCATTAAAATAACGAGCGGATACAGTCACATGTTCATCCTGGGCGCACTAAAGACGACGCCAACACCTCTGCATGCTCGGTGGAGGTGGGGGGAAGGGGATGCCCTCATTTGTGCTTTGACTGTGTGGGAGGGAAGCGTTTGTCGTTGTGTCTGTTTCTGTGAGAGGAAAGCAACAGTTGTTGGGGAGGCGTCATGAGGAGGGAGGGGGCGGACTCTGCCGTGTGGTCAGTGTTCTGTGGTCACGAAGAGATGCTAGGACTCTGTGTTCACCCTTTTGATTTGATCTGAAAAGTTTTTTTAGTTTTGTGCTGCTGATGGTTCCTTCTTTGTTGTGCCAGGGCAAAGTGGCGGAGCGTGGCAGCCACCGCACCCTCCTCAGCACCCCGGGCAGCTTATACGCAGAACTCTGGAACGCCCAGAACAGCAAAATCCTGAACAGCGCCAAGAGCTCGGCCGAGCCGCCGGCCGAGCGACTGTCCCAGAAGGAGGAGGAGAGGAAAAAGCTCCAGGAGGAGATCCTGAACAGTGTGAAGGGCTGTGGGAACTGCTCCTGCTGAGACCGCCATGTTTTCTCATCCCTCACAGATGGCCTACGCTGGAATCCTTCAGTCTGTGCAGTTAGGAGAGAACAAGACAGGGGGGGTTAGACCCCCCATCAGTGTGACTATCTCTTCTCCTCTTCATGTGAATCAAGGCAACTATGAAGGAGGAGCAGAACAAGGAGCAAGTGTTTTTAGCTCTGGCTGGTGGCCAGGGACGGAGCTCATGCATCAGCCAGTCGTCCGAGCCGAAGCAAAGCAGAGGAGACCCGGTGTGTCACGCACGCGTGTTTCAGACATCTGTTAGTCAACATGGCCGCTCTCTTCTCTTCGTTTTTGACATCTGGTTGGTTGACATCTCTCACCGCACTGGAAACATGTAATGATCACATATGCCTTCCCGTTGACACATCGTTTTGTATCAATTAAATGTTTTAAATTATTCAAATACGAAACTGAGTTTACAGTTTGTGTGTGGAGGTTGTGTACGTATTACAGTTTGTTCTGCAGTGGATCGCAGTGACCAGAAATCTGCTTCAACTCTATCTTTTTATAAAGAACAGCAACTGCCCTGGGAAGTCATCTTTGATTTAACTTTTTGGTTTGACGGATAATCAGCTGAGATGAGTTGCACTGATTGGGTTTGCAGTTTTGGAGAAACAAACATGTTCCGTAGATCCGTTTTATCTCTGAGCTACTCTCCTTCCCGTTGTTTTTAAAAAATCTGAAATAAAATCTGATTATATTCTGATAAAAGTCCATTTAAGTTGAAGGTTTTTTAGATTGAAAGACCAAAATGTGAGTCTTCCTCTAGAAGGTTTTGTGTAAAAGTGTAAAATAAAAACATGTATGTCCTGATTTTTTGCAGGGATGTAAGATGTGCATTTTCATAGGAATCTTTATCAAGGGAGAAGTGCTAATTGGGAGTTGTGTAAAACATGCTGAGGCCTTTTGACAAGTTAGATATTCTGCTCTGTGCTCATGTGTGAGTTACTTTCATTTACAAGAATAAATATATTGTTCATTTACTAAATAAAGTTTTTCAAAGCTCATTTGAGCTCATTATTAATTATGCTGTGTCTATTTTTTTTAATCGTTCACTGTCTGTAGTAGAGCAATGATTCCCTAACATTATTATTGCTGCTGTTGTTTTTGATTCAAGGACTTGTTTAATAGCACAAACACACAACAGGGATTTCCTTATCTTCTAAATTCATACTTTATTATTTGTAGATTAACTATTTTCTTCTATTTTACATGTTAAACATATTTCTAACCTAGTTCAGCACTTATAATAGTGTAAATCTGCTGGTTTGTGATGGTTTTCTGATCTTCTGTTTGGATTTTGATTTAAAAAATAAATTTTTTTCTTCAACACTGGACCAGCTCTATACCCTTAGGGGGGATCCTGAAGGGTGCGTGGGAATTTGCCCAACCAGTCTACATGTGTTTTGTGGATTTGGAGACGGCGTTTGACTGCGTCTCTCGGGGGGGCCCCGGTGGGGGGTAGTCCGGGAGTATGGGGTACCAGGCCCTCTGATACGGGCTGTTAGGTCCCTGCATGACCGGTGTCAGAGCTTGGTCCGCATTGCCGGCAGTAAGTCAGGCTCGTTCCCAGTGAGAGTTGGACTCCACCAAGGCTGCCCTTTGTCACCGATTCTGTTCATAACCTTTATGGACAGGATTTCTAGATGCAGCCAAGGTGTGGAGGGCATCCGTTTTGGTGGCCTGAGGATCAGACCTCTGCTTTTTGCAGATGATGTGGTCCTGTTGGCTTCATCAGAACGTGATCTTCAGCTTTCGTTGGAGCGGTTCGCAGCCGAGTGTGAAGCAGCTGGGATGAGAATCAGCTCCTTTAAATCTGAGACCATGGTCTTGATTCAGAAAAGGGTAGAATGCCTTCTCCGGGTCAGGGATGAGGTCCTGCCCCAAGTGGAGGAGTTTAAGTATTTTGGGGTCTTGTTCATGTGTGAGGGAAAACTGGAGCGTGAGGTCGATAGGCGGATTAGTGCTGCATCTGCAGTGATGCAGGCGTTGTACCGGTCTGTCGTGATGAAGAGAGAGCTGAGTCAGAAGGCGAAGCTCTTGATTTACCAGTCAATCTACGTTCCTACCCTCACCTATGGTCATGAGCTTTGGGTAGTGACTGAAAGAACAAGATTGCGGACACAAGCGGCCGAAATGAGTTTTCTCCGAAGAGTGGCTGGGCTCTCCCTTAGAGATAGGGTGAGAAGCTCGATCATCCAGGAGGGGCTCGGAGTAGACCCGCTGCTCCTCCACATCGAGAGGAGCCAGTTGAGGTGGCTCGGGCATCTGGTCAGGATGCCTCCCTGGTGAGGTTTTCCGGGCACATCCAACCGGGAGGAGACCTAAAGGTAGACCCAGGACATGGTGGAGGGACTATGTCTCTCACCTGGCCAGGGAACGCCTTGGAATTCCCCCGGAGGAGCTGGCCCAAGTGGCTGGGGAGAGGGAAGTCTGGGCCTCTCACCTTAGGCTACTGCCCCTGCGACCCGACTCCGGATAAGTGGATAAAAATGCTTGGAGTGATGGATGGAATTTTTTCTTCAAATATTTTTCTACATATATTTAAATCACTTGACAATTTTGTGAGGAGAAATAAACAGATTGTAACATTCAGTAAAGAAGAAACATATACAGTAGTGCCTCTCAAGATTAAAATCACAAGGTGCTTCACAAAAACTAACAATTAAAAATACAAAAAGTTACCTTAAAAATGATTAGGAAATATGGTTAAAATGAGAAGAAATTAATTATAGAGGGAAATCAGTGGATCCTGGGAAATGCAGACTTGGTAGAAAGAGCAGAATAAGGAGATGGGAGATGATGAAGATCACACCAAAACCAGCCTGAACAAGTGACTTTTCGGCTTTTTTTTTAAAGGAGACCACAGAGTCCACTGACCTCAGGCTCAGGGGGAGAAAGTTCCAGAGTCTGGGGTCCACAGTAGCAAATGATCTGTCACCTTTGGTCTTTAGTCTGGTGTGCTGCTCAACCAGTAGGCTTTGATCAGTGCTTTTTAATCTTTATATGGTCCCTCTTGGCGGAGTCATTAGGAGACACGGGGTTAACTTCCACAGTTATGCTGATGATACACAGTTGTACATCTCCATGTCTCCTGATGACTCTCGGTCAGTGGATGCACTTTTTAACTGTATTTTAGACATTAAATCCTGGATGGCAGAGAACTTTCTCCAGCTCAACCAGGACAAAACTGAAGTTTTAGTCATTGGTCCTGAGGCCCAGAGAGAGAAGCTTTTACCGAAATTACAATCTCTGTCTTTTAATCCTTCTGAACAAGTGAAGAACCTGGGTGTCATCTTTGACTCGGAGCTGACTTTTATCCCACACATTAAAAATATCACAAAAATAGGTTTTTATCATCTAAAGAACATCGCCAGAGTCCGCCCCATTCTCTCTCGGGCCAATACGGAGACGTTGATGCTTTTATCACTAGTAGACTAGACTACTGTAATACCCTGCTTTTTGGTCTTCCCAAAAAGAGCATCTCAGGCTTACAACTTCTACAATATTCGGCAGCACGTGTCCTGATGAAGACCAGGAGGCGGGAGCACATTACACCGGTTTTAGAATCATTGCATTGGCCCCCTGTATGTTTCAAGATCAATTTTAAGGTTCTTCTAATGGTTTTTAAGTGTCTTAGCTCCTCTGGCAGGCGTCTCCTGGTCATCCCTAAAGTCAGGACACAAACTCACGGCGAGGCGTCCTTCCAGTGTTATGGCCCTTGCCTCTGGAACGAGCTGCCAGAGGACCTCAGGGCCGCAGAGAACGTTCATGTGTTTAAGTCCAGGCTCAAGACCCATCTTTTTAGGTTAGCTTTTATCTAAATATTTACTACAGTTTTATTTCTTGTTTTACATGATTATATTTTATTGCTTGCTTTGCATGTTCTATATGATTATATTTTAGCATTGTTTTCATTATTTAATATTATTATTTTACTGTCTATATGATTTTATTTATTACTTATTTTCTAACTTTTGTCATTTATATTAGCTCTTTTATTATATTTTTACTCATTTTAATCCATTGTTTCCTCTGTAGGGGCCCTCTGCCCCGGGAGCGGTGGTTGACTGTACCTTCCTGGGCGCTCTATAGGTGGGGGTCTATGCTCCCCCTCCACTGAGCGCCCTGACTTAGTGTGGAAGACCTGATGCTGCCGGGGTAGACGGCTCCTCTGATGGCGTTTCCTTGCCTTTCCTTACTTGGCTCATCTGGACTCAGCCAAATATAATATTTACTTGTGTGTGTGTGTGTGTGTGTGTGTGTGTGTGTGTGTGTGTGTGTGTGTGTCTGTTAATGTTTTTAACCTGTTATGGGAATCTGGGGTCATTTTGTAAAGCACTTTGAGTAGCACTTTGTTTGAAAAGCGCTTTATAAATAAATCTGATTGATTGATTGATCACTGGACCTCAGGGACCTGCTGGGGGTGTAGGGACTAAGGAGATCACCCATGTAAGATGGGGCTTGTCCATATAAGGCCCTATAGACCAGAACCAGGATCTTGAAATGAACCCTGAAGTTGACTGGTAGCCAGTGAAGATGGAGGAGAAGCGGGGTGATCTGGGTGTGTTTGGATGACTTGGTTCGTTAAAGGAGATTTTGCTTAGACAGGTGGACACTTTCATTCAGTGGCTTTTACGCAGTTAAAGAACAACAAAACCACAAAAAGTTATTATGGTTATGAGTTAAAGAGTAAAGGACATTTCTGCTTCTGTGTTTAGGGACTAAATAATTACTCTCTGGAGGAACAGCATGAGTTACTCAAGACTGATAAGCTAACTGCTAGTTTGAATGCAGTAAAGACTAAATTGTATTGAACGTTGTAGTCTATGGGCCGCTGGGGGTCACATTTCACTGCAGGTTCTGTAAAATAAGCAAAACATTTTTGTATTTTTGGCTCCAATCTACAGAATTTAAATAGTGGTTAATGGAGTTTTATTAAAAAATTGTTTCATCAAAAAAAACTAATGGTTAATGTACATAATAATTAAAATGTAAAAAAAGTTATAAAATATTGTGAATCACTGAAATCCTAGAGATTAAAGCAGTTTTAAGACTATCCATTTACGTTAGTGGTCAGTCCATAAAAGCTATTTTTCTGCACTAAGGCTGCTCAGGAAGAGGAAAATAACTGCCATCATGCACCACTGGTGAGAAAATTAGTGTTGGCTTCATAATAGACGAAGTGGAGATTCCCTCCCGGAGAACAACGTGTAACATAAAACTAATGTGCTGCAATTTTGCTGAGATTAAAGTGAGCTGAAAGTGAGTGTTATAGGAACGGCACGGCCACATTCATCAGGACAGGAAATGATTAATAGACGACCAGCTATTCCAGACAATAAATTAGTCTTACAAAAGTGTAACATTGTCTATGAGCGGCTGCAAGGCTAATAAGAAGTAACGGTATAAAGATTAAACCCCTCAGCCTGAGTCAGTTTGGACATTAGAGAGAAGAGAACTTTTTATGTCGACAACAGAACAGCAACTGTTTAGACAAATGAAACAACAGTAGCAGAAAGAATCTGACAGACTGGTCTGATCATACTGGTCAAACAGGTCATACTGGTCAGAGGAGAAATGCCTACATTGAAACGGAAGCACTAGTCCCCCTACTGATCATTTACTCATTGGTAAAATTCCTTCACATAATAATCATCAGGATCCCCAAATAATATTTATGGTTAGAAAACATCGTTTTCTGTCCCAAAAAGATTCCAGATGGAAAACAAATACATAGTCTAAGAAGTTAATGTTTAGACAAAGATAAGAACTAAGAAAGTGTCATCCTTGGAGTTTATAACATTAAAAAAAACTGTAAATAATCACTATAAAATAACAGTGAAATCATGAATAACTTTAAGATGACATAAACTTCAAATGTTTCTCTTGTTTATAATCTGCTTTATTTACCTTTCTTTGGTTGAGACGAGAAACTTAGAGGAAATGTCATCATTTTAGACTATGTACTGTTTTTATTTGAATATAATGCAACATTTTAGGGATCCAAAAAATGCTGTTTAT